GTATTAGAATGGTTGTGCCTTTACTGCTTGTTGCGATGTCTGACACCCAGACAGCGTCCTTGATCCCACCTAATCTTCTCATAAATACTTTTTGTAGTTTCTGATGTTTTGTATTGTTCGTCAGGTGCGTTTCTTGAAGCATTATGACATCCGTGATTTTGTTATTTTCCTGCTTAAGACCCTTAATTATATCATTAAATGACATCCGTGATTTTGTTATTTTCCTGCTTAAGACCCTNGTTATTTTCCTGCTTAAGACCCTTAATTATATCATTAAATGACATCCGTGATTTTGTTATTTTCCTGCTTAAGACCCTTAATTATATCATTAAATTTATCTTCTTTGTTGAGGATGTTGCCTAAGCCATTCACATTCCAACTTCGGATGACTATACCTTGTGCTCTCCAATTCGGCTTGGTGGCCTGCTGATTGGCTTTGTTCCTGAAGTCCTCCATCTGGCCCCGAAATCCTAGGTAGGGGGCTTATATTTGTCACTCTTTGCCACTGGGGACACCTTCGCAGGGTCATCTATCTTATATTCCCCTATGCTCCCGCTAACCTGTCTCCCTGGGGACCCCATGGGGTCCTGATCTGTGCGCTCATCGCTGGCCCAGACTTCCATGTCATCCTCCTGGAAGTCGTCTTTATACAAGCAGTCCAAATCCAGGGGCAAGAGCTCTAGAATCGAGGTCTGCATCGCCGTCCAGTGTGCCCTCCCTGAGGATGTCCGCCAGCGAAGCTGCCGAGAGCTCCGACGTGATTCCCAAGCCTGAAAGCACGTTGTACGGGATTGTAGATACCGTACGCCAGGACCTCCACATCATACCCCTGTTGAGTCTTGCGTTCTCCGGCATCTTGGCAATCAGAGGAGTGAAAGACGTCAGTCTGGATTCAGCTGGATCAGGCGTGGTCCTTTGCAGATCTTCGAGTTGCGTCTCGTGTGGCCCGGTGAATCGTCTGACCCCTCTGTTACAAAAACACCCAGCGGGCACGTAGCAGTAATTTTTTCACGAATTACAGCTATCAAGTTCTGTCCCTCCTCGAAGTGTGGGAGTGCAACATTTGTGGCCACCTGCCACTCACCTGTCTCCTCAACGTATCTTGGAGCTAATAGAGGCCGTAGACCCATCATGGTGAGTCTGATGGATTTGGCTTGTTGCAGCACGTGTGGGGCTTTGTCGTCAGCTATGTGCCGCAGAGATGTGAATTCTGGCTCATATGCAGTGTTGAGTTTCTTCAACTTTTCTGTTTGCGCCTCAATGACAGCAAGATCCATTTCGAGCTCAATGAGCTGTCTTCCTTGTGTTCTCATTCTCGCCAGACTTCTGGTCATCTTTTTTGTGTGCTTTGATGGTTTTCCATTACCATCGTATCTCCCCTTACTCTTTCTTTTGAAGTAGTCCACTTTGTTGTTTGCTCCGATCCAATGGTATTCCTCATCCCTCTGCTTGTTGGAACTGGTACCCACCGTGGTTGGAACTTTCTGCCCTAGTTGGTGGGACTTCCTAGTGGGCTGTTGGGACTGCCGCTCACCCTGGTTGGTGAGAGCTATATTCACTAAGCAAGCTTTGGACAAACTGAACAGAAGCGTGTGTGATTGTGGCTGACACGGAGCTATCTTCACCAGCATGACTGAACTGGCACCATATCAGGAACTCAAAGGGGAACTAAAATAGCCAGGCAATATATTGCTGGGAGTTATTTTCCACCATATGATCCACACAGCTTAAAAGGCGAAAGACGCCGCACAACCAAAATGTGGCTTTTTTTCTTTTTCTTTTTTGAAGAGAAGAGACCCCCTATATATTCGAGGGGTGCCAGTCCGGTTACTTATCCCCAACAAGCATAATAGAGGAATGAGTCTGAGGGAGGGACCATGCCCCAGAAAGAGATAAGGGCCACTGTAGGGCAGCGGGAGACTAACTGAAGTACCCAGTCCTACCCTCGTATGACTTCTTCACTGGGGCGAAAAATCCCTCTTTTTTAAACCACCAATCTTCCACCAATCTCTATTGGATGGAGAAAGTTCTAACTAATTGTTCTGATAGATTAGATATAGATAAGATAAGGCGACCGACATACGGCACGCCCTGACTGACGGGCGTGCAGCCTTAGGCTCTATCAGTCTATGATATGATATAAAAGAAAAGTGAGAAGCATGATTGTCAACCGGACGTCCGGATTGGGATCCAGACGGTCCGGTCTGGATGTCCGGGTCCGGTGTCCGGTTTGAGGTGTGCGGTTGGGCCCCATTTTGAGAAAATTCAAAAAAAAAAATTGGGGTCCCCAGGCAATTTTCCAGTGCCTGGTGGACCCCCGAAAATTGTTGGCGCACTTTTTGGTGGACCGTTGGGCCAACCGGACCGGCCCTGAAGGGCCTGTACTTGCAATCTTGGGTGGTCTTCAGCGGGCCAAGCAGAACTGGTTGTGTGTGTGTGTGTGTGTGTGTGTGTGTGTGTGTGTGTGTGTGTGCCTGCGTGTGTGTGTGTTATAGATTTTCCCTACAACAGCCCCAATTCCACCCAGATGAATAGATTCAGAATCAAGTCAAAGACGTGAAAATCCACTGAGGATATTTCAGCCTGACACAGCAATAGCTTATCCAGTAATATCCAACGAGCAGAATGGGCTCTGCAGGCAAGACAGGCTGACCTCCTTTCACAACAGGCCGTGGGTGGCTCCAACCACACAGTTACTGTGATTGCTGTGCACTTCTGTAATGTATATATATAAACTACAACAAGAACACTCGCAATTCTTACATAGGAATGACACAGGTTGCCGATCCCGATACAAGGCTATTCAGTCAAACTTGGGTACATGATGTCCCTTTAAACAAAAGATCCACACCCCGCTATACACAAAAGATGGACAAAAATACGGGGTGCAGGAATCAATCGCAACCCATCCATATAAGGCTGGCCAAAATCAGAAGTTTGCAATGGTTATCAACATGTGCTGCCCTCCCGGTAAACCACTGGCTAGAACTGTGACTCCAATGGCTCAGACCGATGTGCAGTCTATTGTTTTTTGTTCTTCTTTCTAGACAAATCACTCCACCAACCAAGAACGGCCATGCATCACCACCCATAGAATCAAGAAATAGCCGATGTGCAGTCTGTTCTGCTCAGGACCAGGAAGAGATTCTCCCCTGCCTAATTGCCTGTAAGGTAGCTACTGAATAGTGAGCCAGAGCAAGTGACCTGTGGTCTCGCCTTTTCACTCCCCAAAAGGTTTTGGTAGGTATGATCAGCAAAGCGAGCCCTTGGGTTGTCTGGACACAAAGATGCAGTATGAAGCTGGACAGAATGAGAAATCCACCAAGGACCTGATTGAGGCAGAATATCCGTTGTAAATGGAGATGGATGAAAGCCACTATCAAGAAACAACCAGGTAGGGAACAAGAAATCCAGACATAACTGGTTAGCCCGTGGCAAGGCGGCAACGGCCAATCGTCTACAGCTGCAATGGTTTGGCTGGCACAATTCCGATCCAGTAAGCAGATGGCTGGAAGATCAGCCTCAAGAGGAACAGAAGCCTATGTGGGGATAAGACAAGAGGCGGGAAGTGAATCACCTTTGAAATGCAAGAAAGGTGTCATACATGCATGGCCTCAAACATCATTGAGGAGAGACTACAACTCGTATGGATATTGGACAGATTAACCAGGGGCAGGTGATGAAGAAAAGAAATTGGAGAGCATACATCGAGGAGATCTCATGCCTGAACCTTCAACGGTTCTGGGGTTAAACTGCTAAAGCCAATGTGGCAGTCTCAAGAGAGCAGCAATTGATAGGGATCTAAGAAGGAACAGCTACCTGACAGTCAATCCTCCTTGAGGTGGAACAAGCATTGCTGTTCAGGGGTCCTTCAGCCTAACAGAAGGAAAGTGCGTCTGAGTATTTATATGTGTTAGCCATCACTTGCCAGTGGAAAAGGAACCGGACTGATGCGCCCTAGAATGGATATGGAGCCAAAAACATAAGGACCTTCTTTTTGAGACAAATAAGCTCCTTCCCATTCTTGACATGTCCTCTACCGCTGCTGCTCTGGACTAGCCCCCCCCCCTTCGTTCTCAGACCCGCCCAACTCCGATGGCTGTGACATAAGAAGGGAAGTGGTTAACGACAAAAAGTTCAAAGAAACAGATATCAAGTGTGCACAGGAAAAAGTTGAGAGCAAAGGCAAAGATGAATCAAGAAAGAAAAGGCAGACGCCCCGCAGGCACGGTCCTATAGCAACTGGCTGCTTAGGGGCCAAATTCCCCAGCGAAGAGCTAAAAGCCTGAGGTAGTCAACACAGCAGCATGCGCCAGCACAAGCCAAGAAACAGCAACCTCTACACAAACATAAGCACAGCAATTTCTACACAGAGACAAGGATCCTCCCTAAGACAGGAGCCACGGACAAACTAGTCAAAAGAGGTAAGGGACTCATTGGAACAGTTGTAGCAATCGTTTTGATTAGGCAGAGGCTCCGCAGGCACGGTCCTACTTAGTGGCCGAATTCCCCAGCGAAGTTATAAAAGCCTGAGGTGGTCCAACTGGTTCAACACAGCAGTGTGCGCCAGCACAAGCCAAGGAACAGCAATCTCTACACAGAGACGAGCACAGCGATTTCTACACAGAGACAAGGATCCTCCTTGAGACGGGAGCCACAGACAAACTAGCCACAAAGGATAAGCGACTCATTGGAACAGTCGTAGCAATCGTTTTGATTAGGAAGCCAAGGACTCAGGCGAAGAGGAACTTTGGATGGTCTATGTCTTCCAGGTTTGTTTGATTTTGCAGGAGAGCTACAACTCAGAAGAGACTGGGAGTGAGGTTAAAGCATGGCCAAGCTGAAAGTCAAATCGGGGGAAGCATGGAACGGTGTCAGTGTTCTTTTAATTTCCAAGTCGAGAGCGAATTGGACTGTTGCTCCCCAAAATGAGCAGAGAGCTGAAGTAATCGTTAAAACAGAAAAACAGAAACGAAAACAAAAACAATTCCCCAACTGACCTGAATGATGTCCAATGTTTGTGTGTAGTTGGATACGACAACAATGCGGTCCCTAGACCCATTTTCTGCACTCGTATAGATGGACTCTAGCACCATTTTTAAGCAGGCCAGCTTCCCAGAGAATACAGAGACATCCTCCTCAGCCGATCTGTAGCAAAGACAAGAAGCTCAGAGACAAGGACAAGTGACCACTGGGTCATAAATGTTCCACTTCCGTGCACAGAAAGGCTAATACATGCCATACATGCACAAACAGCCAGCCAACCAACCAATTGAAAGACAGAAGCTCACATGCAGAGGATCATCACAGAGGGAAGATGGCACAGAGAGCGGTTCCACAACCACCACCTCATCACCGCAACTTCACCTCCCCGACTTCCTCCATGTCAACAGTGACTATAACACAGCTCATTTTATGCTTATGCTCCACCAATGGAATGGAGAGAGTCACCCAATTACTTTCCCTGCCAGAACACCAAGTGTCATCCAACTGCCTACCGCCATAGCCCAATATTAGGGCCTTCTTCACAATATCTTCTAACTGAGGCACCGCCCAACTCCTGACATAGAGGGAGCAAATGAGGGCAAGCCAGGTGGGCAAGGGGAAACAGCTGGGATGGGGGAAGAGTGAAAATGGGGACGAAGTGAAAGGGGGACGGACAGAGGGAGGGAGGAATGAAACAAGGAAGGAAGAGAGGAAGAAAAGACGAGGCGGGGCAAAGGAATAGATTTGTCACTTGAAATTCATTAACCTGTCTTAGACTCATGCAATCGCTGAGGATATGCAATGGAATGGTCATACAACTTGGTACAAGAGTTTTATATATTTGTATCAGGTGGTTAAAGAGCTACTGAAGAGCGTTGTGGTTCATCCCCTTGAGAGGAAGCTGTCGTGGCATGCACAGATCCCACACCGGCCCTCCAGGCCTGATGTTGGACCAGTTCAGGCCCTGGACCACACACACTACACTCAAGTGGTCCCAGGGCCACAGCTATCTCTTTTTGGCCTTGCTGAGGCCCAGGAAGATGGTTTTGTGTGGGAGTGCATTTTTGTGTGCTTATTAATTTATTCTGAGAGTTTATTAATAATTATTATAAGATTTCAGAGAATTTGTTTCTGTTCCAGGTCTTGTCCAGTTTGGGATGCGTTGTTTGGGTTTTCGTCCTGTCCAAACAGGCACTTTTGGCCGGTTTGGGCTAGCTGGGCCAGTTTCAGACCCAGCAGCCATGATTCAGGCCGGGCGCATTTTGTTTTGGGTTCGGCTGGACCAGTTTCCCCTTTTTGAGGTCAAGCCCCTTTTCTTTGCTGGTGACACTCTTACTGTATCAGCAGGGGAGCCTGGACATCTGGTAGGGACCCAGGCAGGCCGTTTTGAGGCCATCTCGGTAGGACCTGGACTTGGGCCCACATCCCAGACCGTTGATGGGAGAACCAATCCGAAGGCCTAAGACACAGGCCAACGCCTCTCCCAGTAGACCCAGCAGAATATAGTTGGGCCTGGGTTGGTGTGCAGGTTACAATTCCGCAGGATGCTGCATTAGCAGCAGTAGAGCAGCAGCGTTAGAAGTACTGCTAGAGGTGTAGGAGGCGAGTAGCTGAGTAGAGGGGAGGAGGTCATGGAGGTTTACTTCAGCGGTTTCATGGCGTTTACCATGATATAGGATGATTTTGCAGACTTTCAGCCAAGATTAGTCTTCAATGTACCAGCAACTGGATTGCCGAGCATTTGATTATTTTTGTAGACAGCTGCATTTGATTATTTTTGTAGACAGCTTTTCTTTTCTTGACAGACAGTTTTTGAACTTCACCCACCACTAGAAACCGCTTGAAAGTTGAAAGATTTTGCGAACGTTGTAGACAATCTTTTCCGGTGGTGGTTTTTGCTGCTGCTTTCGGAGAAGAGTTTGACTATAAGAAAAGAGTATTAGTAGGTATTCTTTTATCTTCATGGCTCAATTATTGAGTTTCGTTCACCGGGTACTTCACCCGCATTATTCAATTACTGAACTTTGTTGATCATATTTTTCTGTTCGTGCAACAGTTGTTGCCTACTGTGCAATCCTGCATAACGTCGCATAGATGGCCCAGAGGCTGAGACCCTCGAGACATGACAACATAAAGATCATTTCCCTAGAGAACTTGGGCATACGGCAAGGGGCCACACCTGCCCGCTGAAGCAAAACAGCTTTCAATCCTTGCATGAAGCTCACTGCTGTTTGACTGAGCCGCTTGTTCTTGAGCCGAGTTGCATTCATCTCCGCCCACGTCCTTGGACCTACCCACACTGCGGAGAAGATCAGGATGATTGCACAGCTTGCGCAGTATACCAATTGCTTGAAGAGGGTTCCCAGATGTCCCACTGGAACTCAGCATCGACGAAACACACTGCAAAGATCCATATGAAACCAAGCGTCATAGTGAGCACTTCCACTGAATGCCGGGCAATGCACCTGTCCACACAACACTTGGGGTGAGAGAAATCCTATTGTGATATCTAAGTTGGGTGGTGCTCTGTTCCATTATCTTCTCGCTAATGAAGTGGCAGGAAACAGAAAAGGTTATTAGGGTTTAGGGTTTAAGAGAAGGCAAAAGGTATACACCGCAGTTCAGATAAGTTTTGTACATTACCTGGCAGAGCAAGCAAACCCTTAGATGCCATCCCTGGACATCAGCTCTAGCATTCAGGTTTATCCGACAGCACTCAGCTGAGAGGAGCTAGGAGCCAGGCGACTCAAGAGGATCAGAAGGTAGAGGACATAGGCTAACTTAGGCAGGGGTGAGGGGTGGTACATCCTTCTCTAGGGAAGTAATCAATGCCATCCACTCGGGCCTCTCAGCCAGAATGGGGAGGAGCGTGTGTGTGTTTTCATTGTATTCATATTTGACTTGCCGGGGGAATAGGAACCGGACTGTTGCTCCCCAGAATGGCAGGAGCCAGAATCGAGAGGTTCTGTTATTGAAAAAAACAAACAAACAAACAAACAAACAAACAAACAAACAAAAACAAAACAAAAAAAAACAGAGAAGGAAGTGGTGAGTGTGCAATTTCGAATGGAGTGCCTAGCCAGTCTGCCTAACCCCGCCACATGTTTTGTGGCTTGGTAGACAACTGTAGCTGTTGATAAGCATCTCGTGAGTTCAAACTTCAAAATTCAAATCCTAATGGATATAGGAATACCAGGGGCTGTCCTCCAGGACATCTGCTAAAATTGGAACAATACAGAGAAGGAAAGCATGTCCCCTGCTCAAGGATGAATCGAGAAATGGTCCAAATCATACTCGCAGTGAATCACGTGCACGCCAAAGTGCACGTGCTTGCATGCGCACACATCCCTCAAAATAGGGGTTGGTGAAAAAATTTGGGAAGGGAGGCGTGTGGTGGCCCCTTCCCTCCGAAAAATGGAGGTCCATCAGGAAAAAAAAAAAATGCAACGGCCCCCAAAAAGAATGTGTGTGTGTGTGTGTGTGTGCGTGTGCGTGTGTGTGTGTGTGTGTGTGTGTGTGCTCCTTGCTTCAAGGTGAACTCAAGTGCGCTTTCAGGTTGTATACAGTCACAACAACGTTCTGTTTTTTTATAACGTATACTTTGGACAATTTCCTTCTTCACTTTTTTTGCCAGTAATGGAAAGAACGCAGGCATCCTCATCATGACTGCATCGGACCTGAGGGCCTAGTTGCACTACTCGCCATCCGTCACATTTTGTGGCGGATGCGTGGAGAGTGAAAAATATGAGAATCGTGTCGAACTCAAGGCCTGGTTGCACTTACTCGCCACTAGATTTCTTCCACAGAAAAGTTAAAAAACTTTGTCTACCTGATGCCGACTCGTGAAGCCCTGCACTCTCCAGAAAGCTGTTTTGTGGAGAGCTCCGAGGACCAACCTCCACAAACCGTCGTGCACAGGCGGGGAAACCGAATTCACTCTCCACAACTTGTGTCGACAGTGTGGCAAGCCGTCTGACAGATTTTGCATTCGCCAAGTTTGGCGAGTAAGTGCAACCAGGCGCCTACTCGCCAAGCTTGGCATATGGCGAGTAGTGCAACTAGGCCCTGAAACTCCGTTGTCTACACTTGAGGGCATACTGACACTAAGACCTTGTCCAACGAGCTCCAGATGTGATTGCAGCCAGATACATGTAGGGCTGCCCATAATTGCCCTCAAATACATCCGGAAGAGAAGTCATACTGTGAGTAGGCGCCAAGAGAGGGAGAGAAAGACATCCGGAAGAGAAATCGTAGAGTGAGAAGGCTCCAAGACAGGGAGAGACAGACCTAACGGGTACTTTACGAGCTAGCCCCTCTCTGTCTCCGTATACAAGCTACAGGGCCTTGGCACTTAACTCACCGAATGCACAAAAGAAAAAACCTAGTGATGTATCTTTCCATCGTTTAGCAAAAAATTCACTCTCATTTTGCATATTTGGAGAGCTGTGCTGTTGACAGGTAGCTTTATGTCTGTTCGTTTTTTTTTTTCCCTTTCGTATCTCCATGAAGCTTCTCTGTAAAGCACCCATTTCCTGACACACTCATCATGACTGTATACAAGAATACCACCTCAAACGGATCTAGAACACAAGATGCAGAATATCCATTGCACCTGCCCAAACAGTTACTTCCACTCCTGTCCCTCCAAGTTTACCTTTTTTTCTGGACAGTGTCTCTGCAAGACTTAGACCAGAAAATGGCAATCCCAACGTTAGTTACCATGAACACATTGACTACAGGAAAAAATCAGGAGAAAGTGCACACAAGGATACAGCTTGCTGTGAACATCCAGAAACTCTGAAAAATACAGAGAGCTCAGAGAAAATCACATATCAGAGCACAGCCAGACTCAGGCCTGCAACGTTGATTTCAGAATGCACAAATTCTATGAGAGTGAAAAACCAGTGCCAAATTGCCAATGAGTTTAATCATGTGCCCACCTGTGATTTGACAACTGCTTGGTACAGAACGATCTGGAGAGGATGTAATCGGCAAAACACAACAAACCTGAAATAACCAAACAACAAACGGCATTAGATGCTGGACTGGGTGGCATTCTGTAACTTGGTCATGGGACAACTTCAGTAACGGACAATCAAGTCAGTTACAATCAAAGTTATCAAACACGTTATGCTGGCTATTGCTTGTCGCAGAGTGTGTATTGCACGTTCAGAATGGAGAAACTTCCATCCAACACTCTTCGCATTTGGCAGCAATTCGAAGTGGGCATGAACATCAGGAGGGATGTAACTTGGCCATGGGGTGACTTCAGTAACGAACAACCAAGTCAGTTGCAATCAAAGTTATCAAACACGTTATGCTGGCTATTGCTTGTCGCAGAGTGTGTATTGCATGTTCAGAACGGAGAAACTTCCATCCAACACCCTTTAGGTTTGGTGGCAATTCGGAGTGGGCATGAACACCAGGAGGGATGGATTCAAATCCGCCGGCCGCCTCAGTTTTCAATGTTCTGTTTTTGCAAGGAGCCATCCAATGAGAACACAAAAATTCCGTGATGCTAAAGCTCACTGTAGACCAATCATGCATACGCTGAGGTTAAAGCAGAATAACAAAAGAAGAAAAGGAAAACAAAGAAGCACACTGTTTTCAGCCCAGTAGCCGAGACAGGCCCATGGTACCTCAGGGCACAATTGCCCGCCATAGCCACGTTGGAATTTGGAGGGCAAGCTGGAGCAAGTGGGGAGACACATGGCACGTCAGGAAGCCACAAGACCAGAACCCATGTACTGAAAGGGCATGCGCCACATCAGCACTGATAGGAATAGGAGAACGGCGAACACTAACGAGCTACAACAGGAGCGTTGACTTGGGCGACAGAGATAGGGGCATCCACCGAAGCAGCAAAAGTAGGACGTCAGCAGAGAGCACATTGATCCCGCTACCTTATGAGAATTTTGCCTGGCTTTTGCCTGGTGATGGCCATTGATGTATCTAGAAGGAACTTCACCTGGGCGTCCTTGGGGAAGACGGGACAGCGGCAGGCACCCAGCAGGGGTGAAGGAGTCGACATCCCGGGTGAGTCCCTCAGAAAGCAGGGTGAACAACTGGAAGAAACGGGGAGCGAGCAGGGCAACCGAGGCGAAAGCAGGAAACGACTGGAAAGAGTGGGGTGGGAGAGTGAGGGCGAGAACTGAGGTCAAGGCATGTGGCAGTGCGGGACGAAGCAAGATCACTGTAACGGGGACATATCAGAAACCGCAGAGGTGACTACTTGAGCGAGCCCCTTGAAGGAAGAAGGGCTTAGGGGATGAGTATTCTGGCCATATCATGTGATCGGGACAGTAATTTGGTGCAAAGACACCACGGGAGGATCACAGGAAGGGTAACAGCACGACAAGCGAGGTGTAGTGGTGCTGCAACCTCTCCCAGGCCTCTCCCATGTAACCCCAGCCCCCCATCCCCCCCCCTCACCCAGCCAGTCTAACTCATAACACCCTGTCTAGGAATGCAGAAAACACAACAAATCCAGTGCTTCACATAATCACACATAACACCCAAAAATGTAAAAAATTAAAACAGACCTTCACATACAATAAGAGCACATCTCTACACGCGCAAGTGGGAGGCGTCCTCATCAGACCACGGAGGAAACCCGTGCAAAAGCCATGGCCGGGCTACTGCACAGACAGAGGATTCACCAACGTGCCCATTCACGCATGCAATTATAGAGTAGACTCGAAGGAGGCAAATCCATACAAAACCGGAGAGAAGATATGCATAGTGGAAGCTCAAACTACACCAGAATTGAAAAACGAATTTCAATTCTGGAATCCCTTGTCCTCCTCCAATCAATGCAGAGCACTTGTTTCAAGAATCTCAACCACGTTAACAACGTCCACAGACAGATTATTTACAAAGTTTCATTGAAGTATCAGGGATTCTTCTTCTTCCTCCCTCCTTTTCAAGCCCTAGCTATGGTGCCCCAGCGCCCAACCCACGAGCCAGCAATACGCCAGAACACCCAAGGACACTCCAGCGCCCAGTCAGCAACCACTTGCAACCCGGCCTGCCGCAGGTAACGCTCAGCCAGCAGGGAGCTCCAGCTTCCACTTCAATAAAGATGAAGACCTCTGCCACTTCGAAGAAGGTAAGTCAAAGCTGCTTCGATGGCAGCTATCAAACCCCAACAACACACGGTGGAGGAACCTCTCTTACAGTGCATGGGGCCTAATGCCCTGCGCTGCCACCTAGGATACTGGAAGGCCCCAGCTATGGCCACCAGCCAACCACCATGAAGAGCTGTGCTGCTTGGGGATTAACGCAGCTGCTGAAGAGTGTTCCCCGTTTTCCACTTCCCCATGAAGAGAAAAAAAAAATGACGAGCCAAAAAAATAGTCCAGCTCCCTCGTGTGTAGAACTTTTGTTCTTTTTATGGGCTGCCTCTACAGCCTGGGACTGCTAGACCTACGACTCAACTCACCAGCAGCTAGTCTACAGTATTTCCGTACCTAGACTGAAAAATGACTGAAAGGGCAGACAGCACCAAAAAGAAGAACCAAAATAACGGTTGTGCTCAGGCTCACTAAGGGACAGGGCCTGAGATCAAGTCCTGACAGAATCAAACAAACAAAAGCCGGAAAGCAAAGAGCCAGGGATCAAATCCTGACTAAGCCAAAAATGCAAAACAAAACAAACAAACAGCAGGGCCAGGGATCGGTTCCTGGCTCAAACAGAATCAAAACAGACACACCAAACTGGGGCGTTAGTTTACAGCCCGCTACATCTGCAAGTTCATTGCACATCTGCGCAAGCGATTTACTTTTATTTTGATGTAATGACCCGCCATTGAAACGGTATTCACCAGTTCGCGGAAGCGAATGCAGATCCCAGGGCTCGATCCCTAGATCCCCGTCTTACCTGTGTACAGTATCAGTGTCAACCCGTAGACTTGAACCTGCGACCTGTAGGAACGCCAGTGGTAGGCAATTTGTCGTAGGTCACAGGGTAGAAGGGAATCGAACTGTAGACCTATAGATTAGGAGTCTAGACAGTTCCGAAGTGGTAGCTGTAGGCTGCTTGAGGAGTCAAGGTCGTAGCTGCTACTTACCTGAAAGGGCAAAGTCGTAGCTGCTACAGTACCGAAGGGCCAACGTAGAGGTTTCTAGAACTGGCCTTTCGGAGTTGGCCTGTGTTCAGCAGAGGCAAGTGGTCAAGTGGTGGTAGTCCACCTAGCCCAGTCAGCAGTCCCAGGTAGCCCAGTCCGGTTCAGTCAAGCAAGTACCGTCTGCGACTTTACACATCATGGGCCAAGCGGTAGAGGGCAGACCAACGCAGCGCAGAAGTATAAATCAAGAGGCTGCGTCCAGCCATTCATTCATTCAGGCGGAAGCCATGCGGTAGCGCTGCCACAGCGTCTAGTGCAAGGAGGTCTGCTGGARGCCCGAAGACGAAGGGGGMAAGAGTGAAGCACTGTAGTCATAGCGATAGGTAGCGGCAGCCATAGCTGCCATAGCTCAGTGTAGAGTGCAGAGTGTGTGTACTGTGTGTGTGTGTTGGGTATGAACACTGAGTGTGTGTGTGGGACATCCAGGGTGATCTCGAGTGTGAACAGTGAGTTGTATGGGCGCACAGTCGCCATAGCCAGTGGGAAGAGAACTCATATCTGGTTACGATATCTTTGAGTACTGTGTGGGCGCATGTCGCCAGTTTGCTGTTTCGCTGTTTGCATGCATGACAAGTGTGAAGAAGTCGAGTCTGATTGCACCATAACTGGTTTAAGGGTTTTAGCCAGCCAGTTCAAGGTAGCATAGGCTAGGCCTACTTTTAAGCAATGTAAATAGGGTTAAGGCAGGTTGGTAGACAATAGGCAGTCTTTTTTGGGGAGGCTGAGGGGTGGGAGTGGTCGTTGCTGCTAAGGGCCTTTCTTGGTTTCTCGTTTGTAACTGACAGGTTCCTTCAGTCGGCCTGAGAGGAAAGGGTTAGCAGGGCAAGCTGACAGTCAATCCTCCATATACATGGAGTAATCAATGCTGGTCAGGGGTCCTTCGGCTGTACGGAAGGAAGCGTGTGTGAAGTGCTCATGCTGTATTATTGTTTTGACTTGCCGGTGGAATAGGAACCGGACTGACGCTCCCAAGAATGGAACGGAGCCAGGGCCATAAGGACGTGTGTGAGGATTGAGCCCTCAAGAAGGGGCCTTGCCATGATGTACATGTTCTGGCCTAAGGCCCCAACAAGCCTAGTGCCCGCCCTAAGTGAAGGCGGGCCAGCAAATCAACAAGAGCCCTCTGTGCAAACATTTCCCGAAGTGGGGTCCATACAGTTGCAGCACGCCAGTTGGTTGGAGTGCACCGAGTCTCGAATCTCTGCAAATGTGGAGACCCCAGGGCCTCTGAGTTAGTTAGGCCCTGGGCACTTGAACGTGAGGCCAACAATGCGTGCTGGGTATAGAGGCCGAAAATGCCAAAGGGAAATCGGCCCACTATCTGAATCTGGTCGCAGGCCTTGATGAAAGAGGCGCAACTGCATTGCCCCGGGCCTCAACTGTATCGGGCTGGGTTCAGCCACTGGGGCCCAGTCGCAGGCTGAAGGGAGGCCGCCCACACGCAGCACTGGCATATAGGCAAGCAGGGCGAGTGGGCAGGGATCTTGGCCATTGCGGGCAATGCCGGCACGCTGCGCTAATGCGAGCTGCTGCGCTGCGCTAAGACAGGGTGCAAGGCAGGCAGGCGCTAGGCGGTAGGGCGCTGCCTGTGCACTGTGYGCTGGCGGCCATAGCCGGKCTGCATAGGGCGCARGGGAGGTGAGGGCGAAGGTGGTTCTTCGGAGGTGAAGGGCGCTGTGTGGGTAACAAGGGAGAGTGTGGGTGAAGAGGACACGTACCTGGTGGAGGTGGAGGTCGGCATTGGTGTTGACATCATCACTCGCTGGTAGTCAAGTTGTCTGGTTGCTTTCATTGCTGTAGTTGTAGGCTAGGCTGTAGAGTAGATAGGGCGCTTGGCGCCATTCACAAGAGAGAGCTACATTGGGTTATGGTGTTGGTGTTGCCCTGTTGGGCTTGGACATTGACTCACGATTCTTCTGTATCATTCTCAAATGGATGGTTACTCGGTTGTCCGTATTCCCCGCAGTTGATACAAGCGCCACG